AAAAAAATCCGAAAAAAATACATATTCCCAGCACATCAAGCGGGAGTGGTTCAGATCCTGCCATTTTCGTAGCAACTTCTTATTTCATTTGTTGGCTGGCCTGCATTATGCGGCAGGAAACTACTGATGCAACCATTTTCTGAGTGCATGTCCTGTTTTAATTTATCTATATGCACTTTAATGTTTTTATTTGGCCATATCCAAAAACTGTGATAAGAGTGTGGGAATTTTGGGTCTGTGAATTTTAACAGTTTGATCTATATATAATTTACCAAGAAGTTGGGTCGTTACAAGTATAATATTTAGATGATTTGATAAATTGTGTTATTGCTATACAATTATAACATAATTACTAAATTACTGTATTGGGTTATCACTATGCTATTATGACATAATTACCAAATTATTATGTCTGTGTGAAATTTGTGTCTTTGACTGTAAGAATTTTGGATTTGTGTTATTTTACTGTCAATCACTTCACTGACAGCTTATAGTAAAATATATATCTGCAACTAATCAAATGCTTAATTCTAATCCTATGTGGCTAAATGAGAATTCGGTGAAATGATTGTTGATAAATTGATCAAAACTGAAGAAATTTAAGCAAGAAGCTATTTGAACATTTTTGATTGGTCATTACAAGTATGATATTCAGATGATTTGATAAATCAGGTTATTGCTATAAAATTATGACATAATTATTAAAATACTATATTGGGTTATCAATATGCTATTATGACATAATTACTGAATTATTATGACTTTGAGAAATTTGGATTCATATTATTATGACTAAGAAATTTGGGTCTGTATTATTTCACCAGCAATCACTTCACCTACAGTTCATTTAGCAGGTGAAAGTTAGAGATTTAATAAATAATTGTTGGTGAATTGATTAGAACTAAAGATACCTGATAAATGACAAAATGTTCACTATTGATAATTAATAAAACTATTTCATTTAATTAAGATTAATAAAACCTATAGCAATTGACAAAACCTATAACAATTGACAAAACCTATAATGATTAATGAAACCTATTACAATTGATGAAACATATGATGAAATTTAGTAAAAATACATATCATAGTTTTACTACAAAATCCTAATAAACAAAATCTCAACACACAAAATCCCAACACACAAAATCCTAAAAACAAATTCACGAAATACAAAATCCTAGCAAATTAAAATCCTAACTATATTAAAATTCTGCCACTTAAAATCTCAACTTATCAAAATAAATATATCCAAAATCCTGACATTAAAAATCTTGACATAACTAAAAAATCTCAGGTTATACTACAGAATCCTGGTACTCAAAATCCTGATGCTTAAAATCCTGACAACAAAATCCCAAAACACAAAATATTACAAATTAAAATCCTGACAGCATTAAAATCCTAACATTCAAAATCCCAACATTCAAAATCTCACACTTTCAAAAACTCAACAGAATTAAAATTTAGCCTGAGATTTTAATTCTATTAAGATTTTGAAAGTGTCAAGATTTTGAATGTCAGGATTTTGAATGTCAGGATTTTGAATGTCAGGATTTTAATACTGTCAGGATTTTAATTTGTCAGAATTTTGTGTTTTAGAATTTTGTTGTTGGGATTTTAAGCATTGAAATTTTGAGTGTCAGAATTATATAGTATATCCAAATCTTAATACTACTAAATCCTGACTATTACAGAATCCAAACGGTGCCAAAATTCTGACATTGTCAAAATTCTGCCATAATCTTGACAGTATCAAAATTCTGACAGTGTCAAAATCCTAACAGTGCCAAAATTCTAACATTACCAGAAACCTGACAGTACCAATACTATATGAATACCAATACTATCAGAATTCTGATAGTACCAGAATTCTGAGCTATCAGAATTCTGATAATACCAAAATCCTAATACTATCAGAATCCTAACAGTATACAAAATCTCAAAACTGCCAAATCCCGAAGGATATAATAAGATTTTTTCCAAGTTTTCTAAATAAAATTAGATAATGTATTTAATTATTACATGGTGATATTACTGTACCTATAGAACTGTAGTTACATATAACTTTTAATTTTAGTTTAGTTTGAACATCAGGTTTAGTTATTAATGCAAGGTGTGAGATAGGAAGGCAATGTGGAATAATCTGTTATATTAGAACCACAGAGGTATTTAATGTTAATAATTCCAGTGGTCTATAATTACAAGTAAATCTTATTTAAAATGATGTTATAAATATTTATCTATCTATTTATAAACTTTTAAATATTTCATATTAATATATATATAACAGATTTGCAAGTGTTAGAATAATTAATAAAGAAGATTAGTTTAGTTGATTTTTTGACAACATATTATAAATTATATATTCAAACTTTATAATAGTATATCTGCCAAATTTTAATAATATTGGTGCAATAATCATGCACAAATACATTATTTTTTTATTTTTTGTAAAAAAAAACAAATTTTTTTTTAGTTTATTTTTTATTTTCTACAAAGTTATTTTTTTATGATATAACATCTTTGTTATAGCAATAGGTAATAAATTTAAATTAGTGTTATTGTAAAGTTACAGCTAACGCTAATTATTTTTAATAGTACATATGTATTTGCATTTATAATTTACTTATTTAGATAGTTTAAATCATATTACATAAAAAATTTAATAGTAATCTCAGACATAATACAAAATTGTAAAGCCTTTGACTTTCCAGAAATTAACCAAGTTTGAAAAGCAATAAAATAAAACTGAATTGATATATTTATCACGAATTTCACTCTTCATAAAGCCAGCAAAAGTTAAATATCTATTAGGTAAATTTGGTAAGTAGGAAAAGTTTTATCTTGCATCTGAAGGTACATTTTTAGGATTACTTGAAGAATTGTATAATTTAAGAAATGTTATCTTTCAAATATTTTTGATTTATTAGATTCCAAAATAAAAGCCTGGCAAATAAATATAAAGGATATAGAATAAAAAACTATATTGAGAGATGGGTTGAATTTATGAATAAAAAAGTTGCAAAAACTGTTGCAACTGCCTTGAATGCTTAATCAATTGGTTATGGAATATTTGTTGCTATACAATATTAATACATTTCTATATATGTACTAATATACGATTAAAATAAGAAAAAATAAGCATAATTTTTACTATAATGATTCATAAAACATCAAATATTGTCCCATATTAAATAGAATAATTTAACCAATAAATAGGTACTATATTAATTAATACTCTTCTGTGTTGAGAGAAAAGATCTCAGTATTAATTATAACTTTGCCAATACAGTCTATGAAAATAGAGAAGGGCACATCATCTTAAAAGCTGAGATATCCAAATTTCGAAAAGAAATCAAAAATTACATTAAAAGAGTAAAGAAATTAAAAATAATTCAAAATATTTAAGAGAAAAGTCAAAAGCATATGATTATTGGCATTGAATCTCTTTTCTAAGAAATAGTTTATGGTTGAAAACCTTAGATTCCAACTTAAAAATTTTCAGAACTAGGTTTTTATATAGTAAGTTCAAGTCTAAGTCAAATCTAGTGTGAGTATAAAAAACAACAAATTTTTGGATAGTTCTGAATCAAGAGTTTAGAATTTGATTTTAAGATATTAAAATATATATATACTGACATACTGATATTAAATTACAACATAAATAATAGTTAAATTTCATATATTAAGAATCATATATATATTTATTAGTGAAATGGTATTTTATCTTCACTATATACTTTAATACAAGTATTCACACAGTCTAGCCTTTATTTCATTAATAATTAACTTATGCATGAAGCATTTCATATTGAAATATTCAGAAAAAAGTTGATCTCTTCAAATAATTTTTTAGTAATTCCAATTATTGTCATTAGTGTTAGGTTTAAAATTAGAGTTAAGGTTAGTGCAATTTTTAAAAAAGCTTGTTGATTAAGTGGTTGTTGTATATCTAGTAGGAGAGTTTTTCTTATATCACTACCAAATTAGCTCAGGGACATCAATATTAAAAAGAAAAAAGTAAATATTTATTATTTCTTTCCAGATACCAACAGTACTAAACCAATATCTTTATTTAATTAACCAACTAGTAAGTTCCAAACTTACTAAACTAATAACCTTTCAAAAAGACCTTCTCTAAACTATCAAAAAGACTAACAACTAAAATATTTAATGTTTTATATATATCTATAAATAAACTCTAAAATAAGCTATATATAGTCTTCCTCCTCTATAATCACCTCCTATATAATCACAACTCCCATACAATCACATTAATTGTTGAGACAATTTATTAAAAAAACTTATAAAAAAACTTTTATATAATTACACTCTTTTATAATCACCAATTTTCTTGATACAAACTGTATGATTATAGAGGAGGAAGACTGTACTACTTAAAGGCTAATTAAGGTATGCTTTATACTTTGTATAAATTATTAAATTGTTATAAAATATATAAAGTATAATGATTATACAACTAAAGTTTAATTATAAAACTTGGTTGCATAACACTGTCAGTAAAATAATTGTCTGATGGTAAAGTAAGTATCAGCAAAATGATACAGATCCTCTTAAAAGATATATATTTTAAAAAATTAAGAGAATATAGAATTGCTGGAATAGAGTAAGCCTAAATACTAATCTAAACATTGAAAATTTAGCAGTTAGTCCTTATCCAAGTAATTACACCACTGTAACCTAATAATTAATCCAATATCAGAACAAGTTATAAATTTTATTTGTTGTTTTTTTTTGTATATGTTGTTATGGACACTTATTTAATAATATAAATCTTTTGAAATATGTGTATTCTCAATATACCAATAATTATAAAGCTTTATAATTTGAATATAAGTAAATTTAATTATTTATATTTAAAAAACCTGATAATTTATATTAGAATAAACCACCTAAAGATTTATATCAGTGTAAGCCTAATTGTTTGTATCTATGAGGAATTAGAATTTTTTGCTTAGTGTTCTCTTTTATACAATATGATGCTAACAGCTATTAATACATCAACAAAAGTGATGAAACCTATTATGCCACCCACTATTGCACCTGTTTTGAGTGAAGATAACTGAGGTTTAGATGATGTGGATGTTGGTGAAGGTAAAAAGGTACCTGTAGTTCCATTTATAAAGTTTGTTAATTATAAATCTTTCAAACATTTGGTGATATATAGAGTCTTTGCAATAAAAAGAGCTGAAACTACCCCAAAAATGAAAATTGAGTTTTTATTAAATTTGGGTAAATTTCGATGTAGTTAACATTTTTTGATTATAAATGAAAGTTGATTTGCATAATGAAAAATCTAGATAATATAAAAGAAAAGTTGCATGAGATTGTATAAGGCAGAGCATATCATGAGATTGTCCGGTAATCACCTGTTATCTTTAACCAATCAAAATTATAAAATTTAGTTGACCTGGATCAGTCTGAAAATCAAAACAAATGATTAAACTCAATTATTTCAAAATGAGATATATTCAAGTTTCTGCTTTTTCTACTGCAAAGGCTCTATATACAATCACAATTCCTGCTAAATTATTATTTATTATATATTCAGTTTTACATTTAACAATTGATAATCTTATGACATAGTATTTTAAATTAAAAATGAAATTAAATTAGTAAGACAATATGATGGTATTAAATTTTCCCATAACCAATAAGCATATGATGAATATTTATGTATATAGATCTCAGATCAGTTCATTAGCAAAAGAAAACTAAAAATTTGGGTCTCTTACTAGTTGAAGATATTAATTCTTGATATCTGATTAGGAAAAACAATTTTAACAATTCAACGCTTAAGCTGATTTTTGAATTATTTACAAAAATATTCTATAAACTTAAAATTTGTGAGATTTTGTTTATTTTAGTACTTGCAAATCTGTTATATATATTAATATAAAATGTTTAAAATATTATAAATAGATAAATATATATTTATAACATTATTTTAAATAAAAAAAGTCAAGATTTACTTGAATATTTACAAAACTAATGTGATTATAGTCTGCTGTAATAATTAATATTAAATTTCTCTGTGGTTTCAATATAACAGATTATTCCAATTAAGCTTGCAATGCTATGCCTTATTTAAACTAAACTAAAATTAAAAGTAATATATAACTATGTTGTAAAATTTTCTATAGATACAGTAATATCACTAAGTGACAATCAAATACATTATCTAATTTTATCTAGGAAACTTAAAAAAATCTCATCATATCCTCTGAAATTTTGGCAGTTTTGGGATTCTGATACTGTTGAGATTCTGATAGTATCAGGATTCTGGTATTGTCAAAATTCTGATAGCTCAGAATTCTGTACTGTTGGAATTCTGATAGTATCTGGATTCTTGTACTGTCAGGATTCTGGCACTATCAGAATTGATAGAGATTTTGGCATTGTCAGTATTCTGACTCTATTGAAATTTTGGTACTGTTAGGATTCTGACACTGTTGGTATTTTAGCACTGTTGAAATTTTGTAGTAGTTAGGATTTAGTAGTATTATGATTTTTTATAGTTATGTTAGGATTTTTAATATCAGGTTTTGGATATATCAAGATTTTGATAAGTCAGGATTTTGATAAGTTAGGAATTTAATATAGTTGAGATTTTAATTTGCTAAGATTTTGTATTTCCAGAATTTGTTGTCAGGATTTTGTATATCAGGATTTTGTTTGTCAGAATTCTGTAGTAAAGTCATATTTGCAATTAATTCTAACCTTATATAATGTTAGCTAAATGTGTGTTCAGTGAAATGACTATTGGTGAATTGATCAGAACTAGAGAAATTTAAGCAAAAATCTGTGCATTTGAACATTTTTGATATCATTACAAGTTATAATATTTAGTTGATTTGATAAATCAGATTATTACTATGTGATTATTATATAATTACTGAATTATTATAAAAATTTTTTTTTGCAAAATGATAATTTAGTTATAATTATTAATTAGGACAGCCCAAATAAAACTTGACCAGATTTATTCAAATGTCTGAGCCAGAATTGTTTTAGTAGTAACTTAACCAATTGTAAGTTACCAATAAATTACTAAAGAACTATTATAAGAACTATATAATAAATTGTGTACCAATTAATCATTTTAGTATTAGTAATCATGGCATAATAATAAGCATTCAATAGTTTAAAATATAAGATGCTTTATAGCAAATGGTGGTGATGTGCCAAAAAATTTTTTCTGTAGTTTTTTGAAATTGTTTTCTAGCTAATTTAATTTTTGCAAAAAATAAAGTTTTTGCAAAAAATTTTTTTGACTTATCACCACCTTTTGTTTTGGGGCTCTCCATATATTGTAGCAACTTATCATAAGTTGCCAATAAGTAATATTTTGGTTACTTGCCAATAAATTACTATAATTTTACAACCCTGGTTTGGGCAGGATAGGTTCAGTTGGTTATGGTTAGTGTTCAGTTTGCTATTATCGACTATTGACTAAAGTTAACTATAGCCAGTTATAGTCAATCAATGTATATAGCATTTAAAAATATAAACAGATCAATACAGATCAGCCTGAAAATACAGAAGATCCTGTAAACATGATATTTATTGGCTTAATATCATATGTCAGCTAGCTGCTATAGCCAACTATTATCAACTATGGCTATAGTTGGTTGGCTAGCTGACTCAAGCTGACTAAACCCATCTCTAGTCTGGGCTAACTAAATTTATAATTTGACCAAATTGTCATTTGGGCTAGAGATAGAAATTGGCTATATGATTTAGTCGACTAAATTGACTAAACATAGTAAGTTACAGATAAATTTTTTAGTTAACTAAATCAATTTCTATCCTTAATTTGGGCTACAATCCATGTTTAGATTCTATGCTTAATCTGTAAATGTTGCATATTTATGGAATTTATACCTTAAATGATGGAAATTCCAGTCTACCACATCAAGTTACAGAATTACAGAGTTTTTACAAAAATTAAAAAGGTAAAATGAAAATATTTAAATAAAATTTTTTACAGTAAAAATGAGTTATAAATTACTTTAAACACAAACATATTTTGTATTTTTTTTTAAAAAAAAACTAAAGTAGGAAAACAAATTTTGAATAAGATGGGTGGCAAGAAATGCTATACAACGAACTAGTAGTTACTAAAATACATTTCAGAATATATATATAAATATATATATATATTATTAATAAACAATTTACATGGCATGGCCTCACCTTTGAAAATTAAAAAAAAAAAAAAAAAAAAAAAAAACAATTTACATAGATATACAATTTACATAGATATACCTTTTTTAATGATTACTTCAGAAATGTAACCAACCCAGGTTTTTTTATTTGCAAATTTATATAAGATTATGCTGAACCATTTCCTGACCTGAAATCCAACTCTTTTTATTGTTAAAATTTATCTCTTTTACCATTAATATTTCTCTCTTCCTATGAATATATTTAAAGTCAAATAAGTTGTTGACTCACAATAAATATTTATCATAACACGTCATAAATTTAAAAGTAGCCCGAATACTCTTATTCAATTATAATAAGTAAATTTTAAAATAAACCGCCAATATCTCTTTTATAGAACAATTATAGGTGTGTGCCTAAATTATTTTTGAAAAAAAGTATTTTGGCAAAATTTAGTAATGATACATTTTTAAATGGAAATCTCTGAAGTAATTATATATTTTGATGAAAAAGTTCAAAAAATTGCAACAATAATTTCAGCAAATATAAAAATTAATTTTGGCAACTATTGAAAAACTAAAGTTGGCTGTCTAAATATCGTAATTTTTTTATTATAAGAGGCAATTTAGTCACACATGTATATTATAATATAATATGAAAAAGATTTTATACAATAAGGTTTTTTAAAATCATTATGTTTCTTCATTTTTAACAGCTTTAATTTTTATCCGAAAATAATATTACGCAAAAAGACATAACAAAGTAACAATTAAACTTTTTATTCGTGTGACCTTATAATAGTCTATGCAAAGTTTATAGTCGTAAAGCATATTTTAATTAGACTTTATATTGTTATACTACGTATCTGTAAATAGTGTATAGCTTATTTGTAATTTAGTAGTCTATATAATGAGAGACATATATAACTCTGGTTAGAGAGATTGGTAATTTTTAGTCTTTAGTTTGGAATTAGAAATTTGGATATTAGTACTTTGGAAAGGGTTTGCAGTTTACGGATATACTTGTTGGGATATAATATTTGCTACTTTTTAGTGTCTGAGACACAACAGAAAGTATTGGTTTAGTACTTTTGGTGCCTTGTATGTGTAAATAAACAATTGGTTTCTCATTTTAATGCTTATGACCCTAAGCTAAATTGGCTCAGCCAATATAAAGCCTCTCCCTGGTCATAATAATAAATATTCTTTTTTTTGTTTATTTTTTTGGTTCATCACAAAATAGTGCTTGGTACAATCAGATAATCTATGATCTTTAATATCCGATTTGATCAATTATTATTGTTCGTCCCTTCTATCGATGAATGACTTCCATAGCTGGCCAACTATAGCTCTGTCTTTTTAGTACAATATGGGATGGGTCAGAAACAATCTACCTGACTGTCACGTGACAAGACTTAGCGAGTATCGTGTTTTCCTTTCACTTTCTTTTTTTTTGGTTGAGCTGTGGGGCAGAAAAAGAACAAGAAACAAAGTAGATCATCTGTTTCTCAAATACTCAATTTCGGATGAGTCAGGCTTAGTGATCTATCATTATATGGAAATCCAGTAACTCACAATAATGTCCGCCTTGTGACTTCGTTCACAAGCGGGTCAGTATTCAAGTTCAAGTTTTTGTCTAATTGTGGTAAGCACTATCACTAACAATTATTTTACCACAATTTGTCATTCTAAATGATGTTAATAATTGCAATGACTTTTATTTTTGCTTATTCATTTCTTCTGTTCTTGAGTTGTCAACTATTTTTGGTTTTATTTTTTTTTTTTGTTCTTTTTTTTTTTACCTCACTCTGCATCTCGATGGTCCTTAGACACCTTCGGATCTCTCACATCTCTCAAAGGCCAGAGTTTTTGTTTTGCAGAGATCACTGGTATAGCAAATTGGTCTCTAAATGGCACCGTACTAGTGAGATAACTTATGCTCCGTTAAGTTCATTATATGATGTCCCAAGTCCCTGGTGCTGCGGTGTAGGATCTATGTTCTCTAGATCCACAGTTCCCAAACTTCACATGACCCACAAGCTGGATTGTCCCTTCTATTAATCCTTAAGCTGGGTTTTTCTCAATTTTAGCATCGTTTGTTAATGGAGCTATGCTAGCAGACTGTAATATGTACGAATCTTGTTCTTCCTTTTAATGGAAATCCTCCAAAGATCCCAATCGTGGTCCTGGCAGAGCCGTTCGTCACCCAGTGGAACTCGAACTCGCGACCTTGCCAGGAGTGCTAACCACTGCGCTATCGACCCACGGGTCATTTTCATTCTTTAAAGCTATATGTTTGAGTAAGTTTTTTGGTTCGAGTATGTAAGTTTTTGCATTTTGACTAAATCAAAAAAAGAAAAAACGTTTATTTTATTTAATATGATTGTAATTTTTGTATATAAATTATTCTTTTATTAAAAGTCATTTACTTTTAAAACAAGATTTCGTTATCCAATATTAAAGTAATTTAGATTTTAATTTCTGATTATTGAACTTAAATTAGGATCAGATATGCCGCGCTATTAGCACCGGCAAAATTACAAATTTATTAATAGATAAAGAACGAAGAACTTGTTTGTAATTTTTATTACTTAAGTCAATAGTTAAAAGCAAACCACGATCATAATATAAAAATAATAAATGAACGACCAAGATAAATAAAAAAAGATAAATTAATATATACTAAATAAAGATAAACTATGATTATTGCTCAAGTTAACAGTTAAAACCAAACCACGATCATAATATAGAAATAATAAATGAACGACTAAGATAAAAACATAAACTAAATAAAAAAAAAAGATAAAGTTGATAAAAAAGGTTAAACCCTATAAAAAAAAATAATTGAATTGAACTTTCTTGCATTATAACACCATATTAGACAAGCACGTGGTCATCATCTACATGGTCATCAACTGCACTATTAAAACTGGGAAGAACAACACTGGAATTTTCTATCTCATATTTCAAGGCACCTTGAATCTTAACATTACCAGTAATTTCAACTAAAACATTTTTTCCTTCCGTGCCAATAATTGTTCCTTCGAAACCAGAATTTTTTAAGAAACATAATGTAGCATTGGCATCTGCTTGTTCCATTTTTGCTACAGATCCATTTTTCCTTAAACGATCAGAAAATCCCCTAATTTTTGCCGTTGCAGTAAATTGAATATCTAAATTAACCTTGTGCCAAATTATTTTAACCTCAACATCATCTTTTTTTTTTATTTCCACTGAATATTTTCCAGAAACCTTCGTCTCATCTAATTGAATTTTTTTGGTAGTTTCTAAAGATGTGGTTTTATTATCCCACTTTATAATTTCAGGTAAATTTCCTCTAACTCCTGCATATTCCGCTTTTATATCAACAT